AAAGTATATTGATTGGCTCCTGCTACAGCCATTGGTTTTAACCACTGTTCCGGCCTGGACACCATCATGTGCATGTCAAAGAAAGGGTCCTGGGCTTCCCTGGTGGCGCAGTGGTTGAGAGTCCACCTGCCGATGCAGAGGACACGGGTTCGTGCCCCGGTCCGGGAAGATCCCACATGCCGCGGAGCCATGGCTGCTGAGCCTGCACGTCCAGAGCCTGTGCTCCGCAACGGGAGGGGCCCCAACAATGAGAGGCCCGCGTACCGCAAAAAAAAAAAAAGAAAGAAAGAAAGGGTCCTGGCCTAGCTGCTTTAGGAGGCTTTCTACCACAAGGTGACCAGAGGTGATGTTGGGAACAAAATGCATCCAGGTGTGGGTAATCGGCCCCTAAACTGTCCAGGTCGCTGTTGAGGATGGACAGGCCAATCTTGCAGCCGGATGCCCTTCTTTCCTATTTAGAGAAGACCCTTCAATATTTCTTTTAGTGTAGATTTAGTATTGCTGAATTCTTTTAGTTTTTGCTTGTCTGAGAAACTCTTTACCTCTCCTTCTATTCTAAATGCTAATCTTGATGGGTAGAATATCCTAGGTTGCAGGTTTTTTGAATATATCATGCCACTCCCTTCTGGCCTGCAAAGTTTCTGCAGAGAAATCAACTGATAGCCTTATGGGGCTTCCCTTGTAACTGACTCTTTGTTTTTCTCTTGCTGTCTTTAGAATCCTCTCTTTAACATTTGCCATTTTAATTATAATGCGTCTTGGTCTTTTGGGGTTCATCTTGTTTGGGACTCTCTGTGCTTCCTGTACCTGGATATCTGTTTCCTTCTTTAGGTTTGAGGAGTTTTCAGCCATAATTTCTTCAAATACATTTTTTGATCCCCTTCCCTCTCTCTTCTCCTTCTGGAACCCCTATTATGCATAGGTTGGCATGTTTTATATTATCCCATAGATCTTATATGTTGCTTTCTTTTTTTTTTTTTTTCATTTGTCTTTCTGTCTGCTGTTCTGATTGGGTGATTTGTATTATCCTATCTTCCAGATCACTTATTCATTCTTCTGTGTCATTTAGTCTGCTATTCATTGCTTCTAGATTGGTTTTTATCTCAGCAATGGAATTGTCTATTTTTTATTGGTTCATGTTTATAGTTTCTAGTTCCTGTTACAGTGATCTGTGTTTCTATTGATAATCTTTCTTAGTTCGGTTAGCATTTTTATTACCACCTTTTTGAACTTGGGGTCTAGTAGACAGATGAGCTCTGTTTCATAATTTGTTCTTTCAGAGGATTTCTCTTGTTCTTTTGATTGGGTGTAGTTCCTCTGCCTTTTCATTTTACTTAACTTTCTCTGTCTCTATAAATTTAAGAGAAACAGTTATCTGCTGTGGTCTTGAAAGGGTGTTTTTATGTGAGAACGTCCCTGTGTAGACTACGTATGTCCCACGTTTTCATGCAAGGGCTGGTTTCGGTATGGACACCAGTCACGTCTTTCCTCAGGGTGTGCTGGCTGTTATCCCCTGGACAGGGGGTGTGGTAGGTGTTGTAGTATCTAGAGCCTGTGCAGGATATGAGTTGGGGCTTCCTCTCTTGCCACCCTGGCAGGGGTGGGGTCTGCCCCCCCGCCAGTTGTTGGATTAGAAGCCCTGAGGGTTGGGTTCAGTAGGATCCATTACCTGTGAGTGTGAGCCCTGCCTCAAAGGAGGTGATGCTGAAACAAGTAAGGACCTATGCACTGCCCACACAGGCAGCGTCAGTTCTGCTCAGAAGCTGCCCAACCCTTTCTCTGTTGTGTTTGTCCCAGATCTAGTGCAAGGCTCTGGTGTGGAGTAGCCTGGGGCTGGGGGTCGGGGCATAGTGGCTGCAGGAACTGAGGTGGCTGTCCTGCCCCCTGGGATCTGGGCTGCCTCTGTGGCAAACTTCTCCCAGGACGCGTCTGCCCTAGACCTAGCGCTAAGCTGTGGTGTGGAGTGGGCGGAGCCAGGGCTCTCCGGCTGGGAGAGAACCCATGCAGACTCCTGAGCACATTGACAATGGCCATCACTGCAGAGGGAGTCTAAATTTTTAACAGGCTCCTGGAGGGACTCTGATATACACTGCAATTTGAGAACTATTGAATTGTACTTGTTCCAGAAAACCTCCTCACAAGCATCTGTATTTCCCTTCTTGCAAATATAACTCTTTGTCCCATCTGCTCTAAATGGCAAACAGTATGCACCGTTAGCTTGTAAGAATACTTCACATACGTCTTGGAAAATCTTTTAATCACTTTACTTTCTTTTCTCTGAGCACTTCTTTTTATCTTTGAGCTTTGGAGTGCCAAACTGAGGTCAGTCCTAAATACATTTTTGACCAACATTAACGGGATTACTTCACGGGAGTAATCCAGCTCATCTAAGCCATTTTCACCATTTATCTTCAGCCCAGTATTACCAAGGAGCTGGTCAGTGGATTGAGAACAGTTTATCACACTGACAAAAGATCAGAGTTCACTGAGCCACCAGACATGTTTGGAGGCCACAGGCACTCAATTTCTCCTGCCTTTTCCCTGGAAAAGGTGGACATGAGGAATCCCTCTAAGTCTTTGGGCAGTGAGGGGGGTCCTGAGTGAGGGGGCACTTGCCCCTGACCTAGAGAAAAGCTTTCGCATCTCATGCCTTTTCCTCTGAAGTCTAGTCTGCCTGGAATGGCCATCCCTGCTTGCTGTGCCCATAAACTCCTATCCACCCTTCAAGTCCCAGCTCAGAAATGTGTAGTGATAATAAAAACACTCATCATAAATCAGGTTTCCCTCTTCTGTTCTGTCCTAGCATGCTATAATTTCCCTTTATAGCACTCATCAAATCTGTAATGATATATTTGTGTGAATATTTTATAAGCATATGTGTATCCTGGTTGACCAAAAGCTACATGAGAGCAAAGACCATTTGCCTTCTCACACTTGTACTTATAGCCTATTACCATGCCTGGCACATAGTAGGTACTCAGTTAATATTATTGGATGAATGAATTGATAGGTGTACATTTATTGAGTACTTCCACTGTGTCAGGCCCTGGGCTAACTGCTCCTGATATGTGGTTTGTTTTAATGTTCCCAGCCACCTTCTGAGGTAAGTATTATTATTACCTCTGTTGAATAGACAGGAAGTTGAGGCTCAGCGATGTCTTGAGAATTTTTCAGGGTCACACAGCTAATAAGTAGGAGCACTGGGATTTGATATTAAATTTGTGTACCTCTAGACCTCAGCTCATTTGAAATGGTCACCCCCCCGTTACCTTCTTGGACACCCAAATACTAGTTAGTTGTTTCTTTGCTGTTTTTTTCTCATATCATGTCATCTGTTCCTCTATTACCACACTTACCACGTTACATCATCGGGATTTAAATATATGTATCTTTGAGCTCCATGAGTGCATGGACTTTATTCAACTAGCAGGCCAATTCCAACCACCTCGTCCATAGCCAGGTGCAATTACAATGCCGGACAGTAAGTGCCCAGTTAACCCAGGATCAGTCTCTCTCAATACCTCATTGTCCCCTCCTGATAAAGAGAACAGATGCCATTAACGTAGGTTGACAAAGTAACCAAATGAACAAACAGCTCAGAGGCAGACCAACCATATATGGAAACTTGACATATGAGATAGTGGCTATGGGAAAAGGATGGAGCCAGGACACTTGGTTATCCACAGAAAAAGGAGTGAAGGGCTCCCCTGGTGGCGCAGTGGTTAAGAATCCACCTACCAATGCAGGGGACACGGGTTCGAGCCCTGGTCCGGGAAGATCATGCCGCGGAGCAGCTAAGCCTGTGCCCCACAACTACTGAGCCCACGAGCCACAACTACTGAAGCCCACATGCCTAGAGCCCGTGCTCCGCAACAAGAGAAACCACCACAATAAGAAGCCTGCACACCGCAATGAAGAGTAGCCCCTGCTCGCCGCAACTAGAGAAAGCCTGTGCACAGCAACAAAGACCCAATACAGCCAAAAATAAATAAATAAATAAATTTTAAAAAAAGAGTAAAATTAGATTTCTATCATACACCATACACAACAGTTAATTCCTTTTTTTTTTTTTTTTTTTTTTGCGATACGCGGGCCTCTCACTGTTGTGGCCCCTCCCGTTGCGGAGCGCAGGCTCCGGACGCGCAGGCTCAGCGGGATCTTCCCGGACCGGGGCACGAACCCGTGTCCCCTGCATCGGCAGGCGGACTCTCAACCACTGCACCACCAGGAAGCCCCCAAAATTAATTCTTAATGGATTAATGACTTCCATATGAAAAACAAAACTTGCAGACATGTAAAATGAGTAATTGCAGTGGTAATTAGGGAAATAAAAATTAAGACCATGATAAAATAATCATTTTAAAACCACTAAATTTGCCAAAATTAAGAAATCTGATAATAGTGTTGGCAAAGATTTGAGTCACTGCTGGTAGGGGTGTGTGTATATATATATAATTTTAGAAAAAAGTTTGGCAATATCTAATAAATTGTTACAATTATACTATAGCATATGCAGTAAAAAAAAAAAAAAAAAAAGATCATGTGCAGTTCCTGTGGAAAACAGCATAACAGTTCCTCAAAACATGGGATTACCATGTGATCCAGCAATTCCATTTCTGGGTATATACCCCACGGAAATGAAAGCAGGGACTTGAGCAAATATTTGTACAGCCATGTTCATAGCAGCATTATTCACAAGAGCCAAAGGTGGAAGCAATCCAAGCATGCATCAATGGACAAACAGATGGACAAAATGCTGTGTGTATATATGTATATATACAATGGAATATTATTATCTCTTTTAAGACCATTGGTTAACTGATACCAGCTAGTGCTGGACCTCCAGGATGGTGAAAGTTCTGGAAAGTCTGAAAGGGAGGAAAGGCTGAATGAGATGGGATGCTGGTCTAGAAAATGCTCATGGGCTTTTTGGACAGTCTGGTTTAGAAGCACAGCTACACAAGCTTTGCTTGGCTGAAGCACTGTTCTCTTCTCTCCAGGAAGTTCATTCTCTTTGGTTAAGTGAGCCACCTCACGAAGGATCCAGATCCACAGAATCAGCCTGAAAAAGGAAAAGCCAAGTTGGAAGACACCTGAGACCTAACTTCAGGTATTAGCAAACCTGTCTTATAGACATGCCTTCGCTGTGGGCCATTCAGAGAGGAAGCTGGGTATTTAGAGGCGACAGGGAAACCGTGTAAGCTTAGATCTGGGCAAGCATCCACGAGGTAGGCTGCCTGTGAGGTCCTGGGCAAGGTCAACCATATCGGCTGTCAGAGGTTCCAGGACTGGAGGCTGGGGAAAAGAGAGAAGATGACAGCTAAGGTCCTCTCTCACTCTCTGACGATAATTCAAATGCATCCAAATGTTAGACACCTCACCCGCCAGTAAAAATGCTCAGTCCTAGAACCACTCAGTCGACATTTATTTTGAGTTGAATTTTCTCTCTAATTGTTCCGTAACCCATTCTGATCTTACCATGAACCATCTTAGCCCTTTGAACATAATCTGTGCTCCTTGGAGAATTAAAACTGCTGCCAAGGCTTAGGTTTTACTACTTATAACGTAAGCCGTGCATTTCACTAATAAAAAGTTGCTTAAAGCAGATGCATATATTTTTTTTTCTATGTTCCAGAAAGGTCAGTGTTTGCTACCTCTTCTATAAATGAGTCTACCATCTTTTCAAGGTTTTCTCCCACATGCATTTATAAAGCACTACCATATTCTGCCAACAAAAGTTCTGGAAGCTCACAAGATACTGAACTTAAAGATTTATATAAACAGCCACAGGCAGGTCTTTTGTGTGTGTGTGTGGTACGCGGGCCTCTCACTGTCGTGGCCTCTCCCGTTGCGGAGCACAGGCTCCAGACGCGCAGGCTCAGCGGCCGTGGCTCACAGGCCCAGCCACTCCGCGGCATGTGGGATCTTCCCGGACCGGGGCACGAACCCGTGTCCCCTGCATCGGCAGGCGGACTCTCAACCACTGCGCCACCAGGGAAGCCCCAGGCAGGTCTGTTTTGATACTGTCCAGGACACAGTAATGAAGAGGGGATCACAAATAAGTCAGCTAAGTACAGTCACTTTAAAACCACGGATGGAAACGAGAGGCCACTGCAAGGTTTTGATCAATGCTGATGCCAACTTGAACACCGTGAGAAATGTGATGCCGATGTCTTTTCCATCTGGCAGTTTCTTTTCTTAGCAGTAATTAAATCAGTGAAAATTGAATATAGTCATGAGAGTTGCTCACATTTTTTTAGCAGCAATCATGAAACCCAAACCCCATTGATACACTTTGAAAATCTACAGCTGACGAATTTTTAAATGTCAGGTCCATGCTAGTTTATTTTGCAGGCTACTCCAGGGGAGCCAGGCATCAGCCCAAGTCTTCCCTGCAGGCAGGAGGAAGGCTTCTCCTCCAGAGCTGCAGGCAGAGCCCACTGGGCTCTGTGTCCCTTTCCTGGCACCATCTGGGTGGTGTCACCGTGAAATTTTCTGCGTGTGCTGCCAGCACTGGCATCCTGTCAAATCCTGGCCCAATACTTCAAGTGTGTATACGTATAGCTGATTCACTTCATCATACAGCAGAAACTAACACAACATTGTACACCAATAATACTCCAATAAAGATGTTACAATTTAAAAAAAAAGTAATTGAAGCGTGTGCTGAGTCAGAACAGGTGCAGGAATTAAGTAACCGCTTTGTACCCACGTTTACATATTGCAGCTTGCGAGCAAGCTGGCTCAGGTGTGCTTCCTCCTTTCTTTGGCCATTGGTTTCCCCTGCCCAGGATCAGTTGGCTGCCAGGCGTGACCTGAAGGGTTACTGCATCGCTGTCATTTGATGAGTTACTGACAGCATGTTTGAAGTTGTCCTTTCATTCTTGTGAGGCCACTTCTTTCTGTTGTGGAATCACTTCTCCCCTCGGAACATACAAACCTACACCACCTACACGTGCCCCTGAACCTGTGTCTGGAGACCCTCAGGAAAGGGGAGCGATCATGACTTTGGTCTTAGGAGCATCTCACTACCTTTCTCCTCACCCAGAGTGTGAAGCCAGGAAAAGAAGCAGAGGCCACCTTTAGAGACGGAGTAGGGAAAGTAAGGAGCTGACTCAGACGCACAAAGAACTTAGCAGTGAATAGTGCAGACGTTAGCACCTCGTGCTGAGTGGGCAGTGCCAAATATGGACCTACTTTTGGAAGTTAATAGTGATTATGAAATAGGGGCTGGCTCTCAGTGTGACTCAGAGACTGAGGCTGCTGCTGACGAGGGAACATCAAAGCAATGTATGGGGAAACCTAGATGCCAGTGAGGTTTGCCCTTAACACACCAAGCTGCCGTGTGACCCCAAAACAGAAAGGTCTGAACCAAGGGCTGGGGTCCACCGAACTGGTCCAGAGGTGGTGCTGAGAGAAGACCTAGATGCCCAACGTCCAGGATGCTTTCATGCCCAAACACAAGGCTGAGGACACGACCTAGAGAGGAAATGGCACAGGTAAGAAACAGAGGCAGGAGGGTGCTGGCAAAGTTAGAGAGTAAGGCGGTCGCATAGATATTCTTAGAAAACAATGTTTAAACAAAACCAAATGTATATTTCTGGACCCTGAAGTGGAAAGGAAGATCCTTCCAAAACAAAAATGGGAGTGGGTAAGATCAGGAGGCAAAAGGGCTGTTAAAAGCAGTGACTTGGTCTAGTTTTAGCTAATTATATACTGAGATGAAACAGATCCCACGTCACCATGGGGGGATGGAGCTGGAGCCCCCCACCAGGCTGGCTGTTGGGGGCCTGGTTCTGAAAGCTGGGCCAGTGAGCACGCAGAGCCCCCTGAGGCGGTGCCGACAGGCCAGGTAGCAGGGGACACGGGGACACGGAAGCCTCTGGACACTGACGTGTGGACAGTCGGCTCTACTTGCCTGACAGTTTCCGCGCACTACCCCCTCCCCACCTTCACCAGGCTATTATCAAGAGAAAGGAAGGCTGTGTTCAGTGATCCTAGGGAAGGTTTTCCCTTTTCTCATGCAGAAAATAAAAAGGAAAAGCAAGCTGAGTCATCAGGAAAAAGAATTATAACCTGATACTAAGTTCAGTTGAAACTTTTGTGACTGTTCTAAAGAGAACAGATGAGCGACACATGGGAACCACTGGAGAAGGAGGCCAGGAGGGGAACTCAGGTAACCTAGGGACAGGGATGTGAGCATGGCCATGACCCCCTTTTTCCTAGGGAGACAGGAGCAAACTGTGATCTGGGCCTATTGGCACAGAACAGGGCTCTGCAACCTTCCCTGTTCCAAAAACGGTGGGGTGTCTGGTGAGTTCAAGATCCAGCTCTTCCCTCCCTGGCTTGCCCACAGGCAGAGTCCCTTCCCTCTCTCCTTTGCTCCTGCCCACCTGCCCTGGAGCCCCCCTCCTCCCCACTACTTACCCAGAACCCCAGCAGCTCTCAGTGCCCAGCAGCTCACGGATCTGTCCTCTAAGCCCACCATTTAATGATAACAGGTAAATCTCAACACTTTACTAGGTGCCAGGCATGGTTCTAAGTGCTTTTGCATATCTTAACTCCTTTAATCTTCATAAACAACCCTATAAGGTAGGTCTTACTTTTATTCCTCCCTGGGAAGACAGGGGCACAGAGAGGTGGAGTGACTTGCCCAAGGTCACACAGCTAGTGAGCAGCAGAGCTAGGATTTGAACCCTGGAAGTCTGGCACCGACATCTGTGCTCTCAACCACTCCATTATCCTGCCTCTCAATGCCAGCCTGTCCTAGGATGCTGGATGTTAGGTTGTATAAGTTAATTTTTAGGTTAGGCCAGTGAGGCCTCCCGCAAGCATACTTGGCCCTGCTTAACTCCTGAGCCCATCAGAACCAAGGCAGATGACTTCCAGGGTCCTGGCCCCCTGCCCAACTCTGGCCAGGCCCCTTCCCCTGTATCCCCAGCAAATCTCTGACCTGGAACCACTCTATACTCCGGCTGACCTTCATTACCGCCTCTACCTAGAAGCCCCAGTTACAGCACACACTTCACAGAGCTGGGTCCTCTCTCTAACAGTGAAATGGCCCAGGGTTTCCACTTTCCCCGCACTGGATTGCTCACTACTCTTCCTCCTACCAGCTCCTCCCACTCCCCACAAGCCCCTGCTACCCTGCTGAGCCCACCTAAATGGTGAGGGCAGGCACCACCTTTGTGCCATTCTTCTGGCCTCAAAGGTGCAGATCACAGCATTTTGCATGGCTGCTTGACTGGTTAAAAACTTTTAAAAACAAACTAGTAAGTGAAATGCATTTAAGTGACCACGGGAAAGGAGCTCTGTCAAATCCCTGACCTTAGAAAGTCAACCAAGGAGTCTGCTAGACCCTCTCTCCACATGACCTCAGTGTTTAGCATTATCTAACCACACTGACGTGTGGGTGGTGGGACAGAGCCCCCAGCAGTGTGACCCAGGGAAACATGAAGGGGGACCTCGGCATGGTTTGGGGGCCGTGCAGAGTAAAGCAATGAAGAGCAGAGAGGAATGATAAGCAGCTCTGGCTTACACATCAGTATGGTGCTTCTCTAAGGTTTATCACAGGTGTCCATCAAACACTTAAGATGGAGGTGATGGGTGAAATTGATATTTGCTTCTTTGACTCAAGCATTCATTCCCAAGGACATAATCTCAATTCAGAGTTTCCAGGTGAAACTTTGCCAGAAATATTGCCAACTCTGCTGTCCAGGGATTTTGCAAGAATATGGTTAACTTATGGCCACTAAGTGATAATAGAAGATTCTGGGGACTGTCAGGTCAGTTCCAAACAGCTAAGAAACACATAGGTATAAATTAATTAGTAGTATTTTAAGTAACCTAGACTCTAAAACAATATTCTCCAAAGCATGTTCCAATGGATAATTAGAATAAGTGTAGAGAAAAAAATATTCATAGTCAAATAAATTCATAGTCAAAAATAAATACAGAGTTAAAGCTAAACAGGCTTTTTGACTACACAGCTTCCCAGGGGCCTTAGCATGTGAGTGAGCACTGCATGTGAGCAGCAAGGGCATCCATCATATGCAGCTTTTCTCACACTTTTTGGTCACCAGCCCCCCTGCCCCCCATTTTCTTCCCCTCATAGGAATGCATGAACTTTGTTGCCCAGAACAGTGCTGCTTTAATGTTAACTGAAAGTAAAATGGTTAGACCACCTTGACCTCTATGAGAAGTGTGTTATTGGAACCCTATTGGAACAGGCAGTGGTCATCAATAGTGGCTAAAATCAATAGATGAAAGGCCCACAGGGAACATTATCATATATGGATCAGGCTGAG